GGTGGCATTACTTGTAAGGTGCCCTGTGTAATTTTTGACGCTGAATCCTAATTTCAACCATTTTTCACAAAATTTGTGCCAACAAGTTGCCAAATTTGGCAAATATTGCTTAAAATCGGCCTTTTTGCGGATTTTTGTCTGCAACTTGCCAAGGGTTGATGTGATGGCAAAATCGGTTTTTTCAAAGTTAAAGCTTGTCAAATTTTCCAAAAAATGCGTTCAATGCTTTTTGCTCATCGGGAAATTTAATGCCCTGACAAGCAGTAGACTGAAAGAAGCACGGAAATTGGCGCTTTTTGCGGTTTTTTGGCGAACACTTCCTATTCACCGACCGAATCATTTGGTGACAAATGTGGCGAAGTTGACCAAAACAATGATCCAAATGGACAAAATTGAGTAAAAATGAAACGAAACCAAACACATTCCAATGTTGCCAAGACTAAATATAATACTTGACTTTTTACGATTTTTTAGCGCAATTGCCCATTTCTTTGTTTCATTTTTATTTTTAATTTGTACAAATACACTCATTATGCAACAAAAAGGCAGTTTTAGAATAATTGTAATTTTCAATTTAGAGTTATTATACATTTAGTCTTCTCACATGTACAATAATCCAGTCCTGTTGTAGGATTGGACGTGTCAAAGAAAAATACCAAAAGAATGAGTGTAGCCAAAAAGTGATAACTTTCCGAGGGACCAAAAAATGTAGGATGACGGCTCAAAAATGGTTAAAAAACCTATGCTAGACCTAAATGTTGAAAGTGAATTGTACCGAGGGACCGATTGTAGAAATGATAGAAAAGAAAGAAAAGATGGAATAGGATCTGAGGTTTTCAAGTGAGAGACAAGTGAAGAGCTGTAGCGACCCCCCAATTTGCCTTGGCTCGGAAAATTAGACTGAGAAGGAAAAGATTGGAAGGGAGACTATTTTTTAGTGATCAGAAGGATCCTATCCTAGGTGATTTTTATTTTTACCTGACTCAGAGTGAGCCGGCTACTATCCTTGAATGGGAGACCTGAAGGGCCACCAGGCACGTAATGCGCCGGCTTCTGCTTTGCGCAGGAAAGTCAGAAGGACTGAAAATATTGAATACCACTCTGTGCTATTGCACTTATTTTTATTCCAGATTCATAAATGAATCGACTTCTCCGGCTCAAGGATTTTATACAAACGTGAATCTAGAGATGTCTTGAATTTTCCTGGATAATTTTGAGAAAATGCCAAAAGTAGATGATTTAGATTGATTCCGTGATGACCTCGAGAGATTTGCCGCTCCGATCGCTATAGGTGATTCAGCTTGCTCTCCAAATTGGCTCCTTGACCTTACTCGAGGAATTTGATTCTTGACTTGGGTTCGAGATTCCTTGTTAGCTGCTATATGAGCTTGGTTGAGTCTTCATTTCCTTGGTCTTGATTAACTTGCTTCGCTGCTTGCCTGGATCTGGGTACTGGGTGTTGATCAGACGGCGCATCACTTGGAAGTGAATTCATAGAGCGCAGCGTCCCAGTATTTATACCGGCCGCGTGAGAGAGTGTTGCCTCGAGCTTGGCTGTGATTGGTCAACGTGAGCGCTGTGCGAGATATTTGCGGGAGCACCGCTATGCGAGTATGAACTTGGCGGGCGCTGTGGAGACTAAGTTTTGAATTGCGCGGCTCGTGATTGGTGCGCTGCCCCGCGTTCATTCTGAGGCTGGGGCCAATGGAATTCAGCGGAGCTTATTGCTCCCGGGTTCATCACTGTGATTGGATGCCTAAAGATTATTATTTTGTAGGTGAAAACGAACACCTGTGTGCAACTTTCTGAGGAAAGTTGGTGAGTGGTATTAATCTCTTCGTCATGATATCTAAAATCAGAATTTGGATGGTGATAACCTTGAGAATCGTGCAGGAAGCGCCCAAAGCCCAAAAATAAAATGGCGGCCGGTCGGTGACCCTTATTTTTGAAAATTCCGTATTATGACACGTGAGGTATCGATTCCTATGTTCATTGGGTCGTAAAATCCGATTATTATGTTTAAAATAGCCTCCGGTCAAAAGAAATGTCGTAAATCCAACATGGCGGCTGAAAATACCCACCCGGCACGAAAATCGCTGAGTTCTCATTTGACCGTCTAGTGAGGCGGCCAGCGATTGTATTAAGTGGTCCCAGGTTTCAAAAACAGTTACAACTCACTGCACGGCCCATAAAAACCTCCCAAAATCCAAAATGGCCGCCGATCGAAACCTGTTTATTGTTATCGGCGTATTTCGTCGAGCGGGGTATCGTTTCTGATGTATTTTGGGTCGCACATTACAAATATGAAGTCAAAAATTACTCTTGATCAATATTGAAGCTCGTAAATTCAACATGGCGGCCAAAATGGCAGACATGGATAAAATAAAAGCAAGTACATACAGCAGTAGTCCTGATTTAATACATTTGCGGGGCCTCCTATACCAAATTTAAAGTTAAGATCCATCTGATAACATGTATACGCCTTTGCCATCCATTTTGACTCTATAAATGGCTGCTACAATAGCCGATCTTAAATGATAAAATAACTACGTAAAGTGTGGATGTCGAGATAAGTAGTCAAACAATACATCCTCGGTACGGTTATCAAATTTTAGGGTGTACTTACCTTTTGCGAAGTGTTTTATCCAAGTATCCAGGAGAGTTTGTCTTCAAAGTCGGGAAATCGGCCGCGAATAAAAATAAAAGTACAAGTAACTCGCATAAAGTCTTAGACTGGACCCGACAAGCGAGTAAGACTTAACACTGTCAGAAGATTTTATGTGTGTTTGGGCAAAGAAATAATACGCAAAATAAGTAGATGAATCATGTTTTTCAATGTATTTCCTTCAATGATTACAAAAATTTGTTTTCAATTTAAAAGTTGTGTTACATAGATTTTTCCTCAAATTACCTAAAATCATTAAATACCTTCACATCATACCATGCCGTACCATCTTACCTTACAATATTACCAGTTGTTCTGAAAACAGATTTTTCTGTATTATCAAGATTGTTAATTGCATCGATGCGTCGGCCTGACGTCGATGTGAAATTTAACATCAGCGAGGAGTTCACCGCTTTGCTGAAATCATTATTTGGTCTCGACAGCAGAATGCTTCACTGCGCAAATAAATCCGAATTCCTGTCAATTTTGGAATCTCTACCAGGAACTTCAATACGACAAGCAGATGGAGGAAAACTCATCAGTCACTAATGAATTGCTAGACTTAATTGGGAAAGAAGCATTCATAATAGACGGTACGGTTCTTTTACACTGCTGCTTCAAGCCAGCAGGGCTCAAGACTCAAGATCTCCCGAAGGATTTTTCTAATTGGTTGACACAAAAATTCAGTTTTTACGATGAAACTCATATTATTTTTGATACTTACCTAGCTAATTCTTTGAAAAATGACACAAGAGTACGCCGTCAACAAGGTAATGAACCAATTCAATACAAAATATCAGCAGACATAAAAATTGCATCAATTTCAATCCAGTAACTTCTGGCCCTTGAAAAAGCAAAGGGTGATTTGACCAACTTTCTTTCGATTCAAATTTTGAAGTCAGCAGAGAATAAGAGGTTGAAATCTATTGTAAGTTGGAGAAATAACGTGCAATTTTTGGATGGCACCGATGTGCAGTGCTATCAAACAAAGCAAGAAGAAGCTGACACAAAAATGATTCTTCACGGTGTTTTTTTCGCTACAAAAGGAGTAATTACCGCACATAAACATTCAGCTGATACAGATGTGGTAATTTTAACTTTGTGATGCATCCCCATGCTCACTGCTGAAATTGGAATGTTTGTAGGGAAGGGTATGAAGAAGTTCATTGACCTACTTCCAATTTACAACGCCCTTGGACCTCTTAAAGCATCTACTCTTCCAGGCTTGCATGCGCTGTCAGGCGCTGATATGACAAGATTCTTTGCAAAGAAGAGGTAACCAAATTGGTGGAAAACCTTTCAGTCCGCAGATAATGAATTATTGGAAGCATTAGTACAGCTAAGGAAAACATTGATCCTACCTGAAGACATTATAACACAGCTAGAGAAATGTGTGTGTCAGCTGTGCCTTCCAAAGAGCACATTAACAGATATAGGCGATGTAAGATGGTAGCTGTTCTCCAAGAAACAATGCCAAAATGAAAATCTGCCTCCCACAAAAGCAGCCTTAAATCCAGCTCTTCTGAGAGCACACATACAAGCTTTAGTTTGGAATCAGGATCTGGTTCAATTCGAAACCCCTGAAACCCCTTCTTCTATCAATTTTGGATGGCAAAAGGTTGGCAAAGGACAGGGCTGCCACTTTATTTGGGGACTCCAAAACTGAAAACATGGCAACCCTGCTAATGTATTTGCTCCCAATCTTTGCATGGAGAGTTTGTCTTGATGTAGAGGTGGACTCTTTGAGTAGGGTGGGATATCCCCTCCATTTTGGCCTCACTTTGAGAGCTTTTTTTGAGCTTGGGAGTTGATTTCAGAGAAAACCAGTGGCACCATCGTGTTTCTCGTGAACTTTTATATTAGAATCAACAGTCATCCAAATTCTGATATTAGATATCATGACGAAGAGATTGATACCACTCACCAACTTTTCTCAGAAAGTTGCCCACAGGACTGGATTTTTGTACATGTGAGATCAGACTACATGGAGTACATGTGAGAGAACATGAGAGTACATGTACTTTGTACGTGTGAGATCAGATACAATCATACTTAATCGAGGGAAGCAAAATATGTGATGTAGTGAATTTTGTGGAGTTGTGTCAAAAAATCTTTTTGGAGACTTCATTCAAGAACTATTCCATATGCTTGATGAATATGTAAATGAACTCAAGACAAAAAGCTTGATATCGAAGAATGTTTTTTAGTTCTTCAGTTTTTCTCTTCTACATTGGTTCAACACTGCCTCAAGCGATTGAGGTCTCTAGCCCTTTTACTGTTTTCCTTTACTTTTTTTATCTATTTAGTGACATTTTCTTTCCTTTTCATTTTTCAGAGAAGCAAGGTTCTTCGCTCAATTCAAGTTCCTCAAAAATGATAAGCTCTACATTGCTGTGAAACTTTCTATGCCTTCGCTAAAACATACATAGTTGTTAGAAATCTCAATTTTACTCCAGTTTTTATTACTGGGAACCACCTGTTATCCTATCACTAAATACCTTAAATATTTTCATTTACTCTTGTTTATCGAAGTAAGTAGCAGCTAATAATCAACACTATATTCCGTCAGTGCATCCACTCTTCTTGCTCATGTTGGTCGCTTTATTCGTGAAAAAATCTAGCATAATTGGACTAAAGATGATAAAATAAATGGAGTTAAATGTGATTTTGCTGTGAGGGGTATACCTGCGTCACTTTTTGCATTGAGTATTTAAGCATTAAAACAATTGAGATCTTCTCAAAGTGCAAGGAGATAATAGAAAAGCTGCAAAGAAGAAAAATTTCATTGTAAGTTCTGAAAAACTTTTACTCTGAAAAGCTTACTCCAGCATGCTTAATGTAACATTCATAATCGAACATTTTCAATGTGTATCCGGCCCCGCCTAGATTTTACTAAATGTATCATATTTTTAACCCTTAGATGACTGACCGTTTTTACCTACACGAAAGACCAACCCGGGCCTGCGAGGCCTGTATTGAGAATATATGGTAATTTGATGGCTACAATGCTTTTTTCTCTATTTTTGGATGAATTTTATGATTTTCATACTTTGACTTCTATAACCAAGGTCCCAAATTTTTTTTTTTTCACCCATTGGCTGCCCCCCAGCCCCCCTAAACATCCCTCTCCTCTCCCCAGTCCCTTCAGATCTAGGAGTCTTTCATTGTAAACACATTTTTATATCTTTTTTCAGGATTTGAGGTAGTTAAATTGAAGGAGCATTATTATCCCTATAAGTATACTTGAGGAGGGGGCAACCTTGCCCACCCTCCCCCCTCCCCCTCTTTCCGGTAGCCAAAAGAAGTAGTACTTTCCGATGTGTTTCTTTCAAAGTTTTGCACTTAGAAGGTTCATTTTTTCATTTCGTGAAAAGAAAAGAAAAGTCTAAAATGTATTATTGTACTATTACTACTAATAAGTCGCTCTCATGGCGCTTCTGTGCGCTCTGCGACACCCAACCGCCACTGACAGCGATCTTGCCAGAGCACCTCCGGCAGAGCGCATCTCCTCATTTCAAGCCTTATTCCCTCAATCCATGATTTGACAGGGCGTTCTCTACGTTGGCGTTCATAGGCGTTATGTATTGTTTTGTTATTTATGGAATACTTCTACATTATTTCAAACTTTTCGACAAGTGAGAGCAAATTTATTTACAGTGAATTAGGAGATAAAAGCGGGACAAAATTTCTTGTGAAGTTTCTAATAGTTTTCCTAAGGTTTTGCTGTAATAGTTGTAGCTGAGAAGTCATCATGGAGGAAATATACTGCCTAAGAACTGTAAAAGCACCATGCGTTATTTTCTTACAACTAAAAGATAACGCCTTTACATATTCACCATACCACAAGAAACACCTAAATTTAACTCGTAAAAACTCTTAGATTGTTAAAAAATAAAAGTAGATAATAATTAATGATTCCAGTAGTAAGACGACGGACAATATACATAAGAAGGAAAGGTTTTAGGAAACACATAAAAAAAATTCTTGAAGGTCAAGAAAATCAGACTTATTATTTACTTATTATTATTTTAATTTTAGGTGATTCTTGTAATACGGTGAATATGTTAAGGCGTTCTTTTAGTCGTAAGAAAATAACGCATGGTTCTTTTACAGTTCTTAGACAGTATATTACCTCCATGACCACTCCTCAGCTACAACTATTACAGCAAAGGTGCTCTAGCACGATCACTGTCAGTGGCGGTTGGGTGTCGCAGAGCGCACAGAAGCGTCATGAGAGCGACTTCTTAGTAGTAATAGTACAATAATACATTTTAGACTTTTTTCTTCTTTTCACGAAATGAAAAAATAAACCTTTTAAGGGCAAAACTTTGAAAGAAACTCATTGGAAAGTACTACTGTTTTGGCTACCGGAAGGAGGGGAGGAGGGAGGGGTGGGCAAGGTTGCCCCCTCCCTCTCAAATTCAAGTACACTTATAGGGGTAATAATGTTTATTCAATGTAACTTCCTCAAAATCTCAAAAAATATATAAAAGTGTGTTTATAATGAGAGGCTCCTAGATCTGAGGGTACTGGGGAGAGAGGGGGGAGATCTAGAGGGGGACGGGGGGCAGTTTATGGGTGGAAGGACAATTTTGGGCCTTGGTAATAATAGTATAGACAAAGTATGAAAATCATAAAATTCTTCAAAAAACATAGAAAAAAGCATCTCAGCTATCAAATAATCATACATTCTTAGGGCTGGGCCTCGCAGGCCTGGGTTAGTCTTTCTAGGGGTAGACATGAAAAAAAAATTGCTATGCCTTAAAAAAAATTTTAATTTTTTTTTTTTCAAGACTAATGTTTTTAAGGATATTTGTAGAGCTATTTGTGAAGGACAGACTCCCAGGTCAATTACAGCCACCGTGGCGCGAAAAATAAAAAGCCGCCGGGCCTGAGAGACCCGGTTAGTCATCTAAGGGTTAAAGTACTAGTCTTGGTTGATTTTTTACCGAATACAGGGTGTCCCAAAGTTAACATACTTAACTTTCAGGATCGATTTTCCGGTTCAAAATATGATCTTTTCCCCTTTACACATACGCCCATAAGTGAGCTATGTGCTTCCTTTGCAATCCCTAGTAGTATTTGCATGCATTTTCTTACAATTTTCTGGAAATTTTTTTGGAATTTAATTGCGATTTTATTGAGAGGAGATTTCGATTTCATTCCAATTGAATCTTCTGGAAATCACCTTTTGCTTTGAATTTAACATTGATTAAATACTTTTTAAATTTAAATTATATTGAGATTGTATTTGGATTTTATCAAAATTAAATAAAAATATTTTTGCTATTTAGTCCTCTCAAAGTAGGAGTTGAAGGAAAAACGTTCAAATTGCACAGAAGCAGCTTCAAAAAAGCATTGTTTCCCAATTGCCGCATAGCAAAATGAAATCCTCAGCTCATTTTTGTTTATTAACGATTTGCACTACTGGCATGAAGGTGCATTAACTGTGCAAGAGGCAGCAATCTTGGGTGTACAGGCTGCCAGAAAATCTCTGACAAACGATAGTAGTCACCGAAGGCTGTGCTCTTGATGTGCACAATGTAACTCAACAAATTTGCACACATGTATAGTTAAAGAACAGAGAGAGTGTGTGTGCTGATGTGCTGAGCATACTTATAATTCAACAAAAGAAAGTCTACAATTGAACAGTATGAACCGACTTTAATGGGAAGGAATCAATAAAGCACATATTGTTAAAACTGGAGACTAAGTTGTTCACATTTTTTTTTCTTCCATGACGCTGGGGAAATGTAAAAATTGAACATGAAATCCCTGTTTTTGTCAATTACTTAATCTTTTTTGTGCGGCTTACCAATTTCTGGCAGGCTATGAAGTCAAGTTATACCAAGAATAAGTTCAACAGCTCTCTTATAGACCTTATTATTTTTTTTTTTTTTTTTTTTTTTTTTTTTTTTTTTTTTTTTTTTTTTTTTTTTTTTAAATTAGGTAGAATAAGAATAAGAAGAAAGTAAAAACATGATTTATTTAGATGCATCCTTTCCGCTAAACTTGGTCATATAATGGTATTTTTGGGTATGTTTCACATATGTAATGAATGTTTAAAGCATTTCAAAGATGAATTAATGATTCGTGTATTCTCTGAAAATATACATAAAAAATATAAATGTAAAATAAGGGAGTATAATGCATCAAAAATAAAAAGGCCAGGTGCAAATACAGCTAGCTGGAACAAAACTTACGAGAGTCGGCGTACAGCATCTCATTATTTGCCATCTGTTTGAGCAACCGTATCAAGCACTTCTACAACGATGCTGTTCACAGTCTGTCCAATATCTTCTGCCACATCCGCTTGCTTCTTTAGTGCCCTTGGACCTCTTTCTTTCCTGGGAGCAAAGATGTGAATAGGTCCAACCATAATATTTTTAAAATGAAAAAATGTTCTTGTGAAAAATTCAGAGATCCAAAATCCCAAAAATTTCAATTTATTTATCTACCTACTAAAAAAATAGGAATAATATTACGTTGATTTAAAATTTTAACGGACAAGATGGTTCAAAGTATGAATATTTGAGTGAATTCCATGTGAATGCGGAGCCTTAAGTATGACATACTGAATATTCCTTACATAATTTAATACATTCCGCAAAGTTACTAGTTGAGCTAAATAATTTCAACTCCATTTTTTTAAAATGTAACTTGGCTTCTTTTCGCTCATCACCATCCATACTTGACTGCTGCACACCGGCAAAATCATGTATGTGAATGAATCCTGTTTTGGCATACTTTAGTTGATTGACATTGAATGAAGCATTTTCCCTTTCTTCTAAAAAAGAAATAGTGAGAGGATACAAGATTATTCAAGTTAAGTAGAAGTCTGGGTAAGGACAGCATTTCTCTTAATTTATTTTTCCTTGATTTAACAAATACTCTCATAATACTCGAATAGCCATACAACCCATAAATGATCAAGACAAAATTGAATAAAAAAAATACATTTGCATAAAATACTGACCTTTTTTGAGTTCCCCATTCTGGAAAAGGAAGGGCCCCAAAGTATCTTTCAGGAGGCTTTTGTTAACTTGTTCCTTGCCTGGAAATGCTTTATTTACTATTCCTGCAACAGACGGATGAGAAAAAATGATGATGCCAGCATCCAATTATAAAATGGGGGTGGTTAAATATTTTCAATACGAAGGTTAGGTCTGAAACTATGTTATGATAATATGAAATGATGAAACTATGATTAAGCTCACATGCTGAAAATGAAAGTTAGCAAACCAAGAATTCTTTATCTATTTGTCTATTGTTAATTTCTGTTGGTGTGAGAGATTTTGATGCGTAGGAAACTGGTTTGCGAGTTTGTAATAATACGCTACCTATTCCTTTTTGGGTTCTGTCTGTGTGAATAACTATGTTTTTACTTGGATCAAAGGTTTCTAATACTGGGTTGTTAACTTAGTATTTGCCTTAACATGTTAATACAATCAGGCCTGCCACATCCCATCTCGGGGCTTGGTACCAGTTTTAAGGCCTGGGCCCCCAGCACAGAGGGGGTCCGAGGGGCCTCCCCGGGAAATTTTTGAAATTTAAAATCTATTTAGATGCATTTTGAAGCTCCCATGACGGAGATTTTCCATCAATTTCTGCAGAATGATTACACCTTTTTTTTTATTTTTAGCCCAAAATACCTTCAAATTGTTGCATTCAAAATATCTGGAATATTCTTGAAGGGGGCGGGGGTAGATGATACTATTTTCAATTCTAGGGGAGGGGGGGGCAAGGTCCCCCTGGACTCCCCTTTCGTACGTCTATAGCAAGGGAGTTGAGCCATTGATGTCTAGGGTGCCCAGCATCCGACAACGGTAGAAAATGAAATGAAGTTACTAAAAATGTCATCCTGTACTTAAAATCTTGAAAAGAGATAGAAATCTTTAAAGAAGTAAGAAGAATTCTAAAGTGGCCAAGCGTGTTTTTGAAAATGTATTCACCTTTTGAGAAATTTTTAGGTTCAATTTTTCACATTTCCTTACGAGGCAGGGTTTATATGTGAATTCTTAGCAGTTTATCACCAGCTGCATGGACCCCTCCAGGGCCCGGGCCGCGGTACCAGGGACTCAGTATCCCCCCTCCCCCTTGTGGCAGGCCTGAATACAATCCCCATGTACTTTTTCATTCTAATTAAATTGAAAAGTTGGCTACTGGCACGACCCTGAGATAAAAGTGCAATGGTCAGTTTGGATCGCACCTGGAAGACCTCGCCTGTAGAAAGCTCGGAAGAGTCGCAGCACTGTGAAGACAGTGTTGACTGTCTTCTTCGATCATGAAGGTGTCGTCCATCTTAAAAACGCTCTCCAATGCTCTACTATCAATAAAGAGAGCTACCGAGAAACTTTACGCAGCTTAAGGGGCCTTGGGGAGCGTATTCATGATGGACGACACCTTCATGATGGAAAAAGACAGTCAACATTGTCTTCACACTGCTGCGACTCATCCGAGCTCTCTACGGGCGAAGTCTCCCAGGCGCGATCCAAACTGACGATTGCACTTTTGTCGCAGGGTCGTGCCCGTAGACCCAAGGCGCGTCCCCTGTGATGATCTTCTTCACAAACTCTTCCCACCCCACTCTCCTTAACTTCCTCTTTTTTAGGAAAAACGAAATGTGACGAATACAGCAGAATAGCACGCACTAATCAGCAAATTACCAACGACTGGTTCAACATGTGATAATCTGGCTGTGCACCTACACTCAGGAGAGTTCCTGCAAAGATAATCCCAAGCCCCAACCTCTCATCAACCGTTGATGGTGAGATAATCAACAAGGTCGGATACTTTCCGGACAGACCTCATAATCAGACCAAATGCAATTGTGACCTGTAAACCTAAAATCGCTTGTAGTTGTCGTTGACAATTATAATTTTTTTTACTCTTGTTACATTATTTAATGACGTTGGCAGGTTTGCTGTGCCAGGGACCTTTACTTCTATATTGTTATGGGTGATTTCACGATAAGAGGAATAGTCGTGTCGCCGTGGGTTATGAACGACATAGGGCAAAATGATTGAAAACCAAATGAATGAATCAATAGGAATGATGTCCCTGAACCTATCCATGCTAAAAAATATGATAAATTATTATCATATTTAATAATATGAGACTTTAAAGGCCGAAAATGTCCGGTCGGTTACGCGTCGCCAACCCCGATTTTGAAGCAAAAGAGCAATTTGCGGTAACAAATCAGTACTGATCATGAACTCTTTGGCAATATTTGCTAAAAAGAGACTCTAATGTTCAAGAAAATTGCCAGTTTGAACTGAAATGTTTATTATTGAGCGAGAAAAGTCATTAGAAAGAGGTGTCGCCACATTTGGCGACTAATTTTTGCAGTTGTATTAAATGCAGTGTTTATCTCGCCAGATGGAGTCAGGAGTTTCAAAATTGCCATCAAATTGTTCGCTGAAGTCTTCCCGACAAAACCATTACTGATAAGTCAGTTTATTTTACAATGAAAACCTTAATTATTATGAAAACCAGTGATTTTTAGGTGTGTAGCACTAATTCCTCACTACGCAAAAACCTCAATTTAATATTATTAAACTAAAAGGAAGTCTCCAAAGTTTAGAAAACTTTCAAGGCAGCATTAATTCCACCTCATAACTCAAGAATTGCCAAGTTTCATCTTTTATATCATCTTTTATCTCACATTTTCAAGTGTCGGTTACGCTGTGTCTGTTACGTAACCGACACAATTTGGCAGGGCCGCCATGTTTGCGTGGACCTCCAGCAGTCCCGCGGGAAGCGCTGATACCTGATTCAATGGCTTGTTTATCAATCACTTTAACTTTGCACTGAATCAAAATAAAGCGTGCCAAAGCTGGAAAAAGGAAGTTTAATACCTTTAAAATGAGGTAATGAAATCCTGTTAAAATTTGTGCACTTTTATTTTTAATGTATTTCACATTTTAACTATTTCTGTTATCGTGAAATCACCCTTATACACCCTCAGTCTTACTTTACAAATTTTAAGTTTTATTTCAAACCGGTTATTTTCTCGGACCTGTAAGAATGATCAATCTTTACTCTCGAAATACGAGTTCAAAGTTCTGTATTTTGAGCTCCCATTTAAACGCGCGTCGCTCGAGTTATCCAAGATGGCGTCCATTCTATCCGTCCGGCGATGGCCATACTTTTGACCTCGCGAGGCTCGGCGGAGTATCTCTGCCGCGTGTGGTAGTCCAAGAAGTGAACAAACAAACACCAGGCTGAATGTATCCGACTCCTTCTTGAACCTCCACACGTGACAAAGGCACCTCGCCGGGCCGCGCAAGGTCGAAAGTGTGGCCATCGCTGGACGGATAGAATGGACGCCATCTTGGAACACCCGAGCGACACGCATTTAAATGGGAGCTCAAAATACCAAACTTTGAGCTCATATTTCGTGGGTTCAAATTACTCAAAATAATCGGGGAAATTTCCTTTGGACTATAAGCACTCTCCAGTTTTCAAAAATACAGGAATTACAAATAACCAAACAAGCTCATTACAATAAAAATCAAGATTCTTAAAATATACGTAAGTGATCCAACACACACAGTCTTCTGAATTTCAATAAGAGATCAAGAGTATTTTACTGGACTAACCCTTTGATGCGATCAGAATTCCTTACCTCCATCTCCCCCATTAGACTGACTATTGTAGAGGTAAATTAATAAAGCGCTTTTAGTTTAAATGTTACATTTTGTTGGTGCCTCAAAAAATGACCACAGAATTTTCTGCTGGTACATATCATGACTAGGTTCCTGGTATTTTGGTTCGATGCCAAAAAATGTTGTGTGAGGTGCATATAGTTTTAGGGAAAATATGAAGTTCTCACCAGCTCTTTAGATAATTTCTCGTTCTTCTTGAGAGAGGCATCAAATTCCATGAATTGATCTAAGTCTGTAAATGGAAAACACTGCAAAACATCATCATCATCAGAATCGTCATCATCACTTGATTCTGAATCTGGTATAGATGGCCTGGTCTTAAGTACGACTCGAAGTTTTAGACTTCTTGTGCTGAAATGTATGTCTTTTTTTTTCTTTAACTTTTTATCTGTGAGCAATTTAACCAGAATCAGCCCAACTGCCTTACATCTTGCCTAATTTGCTCTCATGTTTTATTTTCACCACAGAAAATTGGGAAACAAATTGCTTTAAAGCTTCCTGCAATAGACCACCAGACAATGTACGAATTTAAACATTCTGATACATTTTTCCAAACCAGAATTTCACGTAGAACACGTTTCTTGCATCAAAAATTATTAAGATTAACTCCTAATTCAGATATTAACGTTTTTATTTTACATTGGTTACGGGCAATTTGAATTGCCCCATCACACGAAACTTAATACTCTATGTGAGTCCAGTCGCGTACTACAACGATTTCGGCAGGCTTCCCAATCCAGCACTGTTTCACACCCTGTGTTGTTCAAATTATAAACAACTTGCTACAGCTGAGCCAAAGCGTCAAGATTGAGGTTGCTAGATTTTCATATCGCAGAGAGTGTCATGGTAATTTTTAGTGTGCGATTTGACTCACGTAGATCATTGGCTTTTCATGAGCAGGGAGTTTGAATTTATGCGTCAAGAAACATTAAATATATTGGTTAGTAGTTCTGTTCGGTAATTTTCGTTGCACAAATCGTGTTTTACGTAAGATTTTGGTTAAGAAACATGTATCATAATGCTTAAATTCGTACCCTGTCTAGTGGTCCATTGTCCACTGACCTATAAAGGTGATACTCACAAAACAAATCAGAATATTCCTCAGCTTTCTAATAGAAAGATAAAACACGAGAAGCCATCTGCGAAGTCTCATACGGTTACCCTGTTTCTATGCAAATCCCTCGATTTAATTGCACAATTTCAAGAAGAAAGATTTTAAGTGACTGTTTTGTTCTTTTCTCTCAGAGGAACATCAATAATTCTATCAATAATAGACCATTCTACTCATTAAGTACTGCTAATATAATATTCTGATGTTCCGAAGTGCAACCTGCTCTATCAAAGAATTTGAATTTTTCGAAATATTTAGATTTTTATTTTTTTTTTTATTTTGCATAGTTTGTTGATTTTCACAAAATGTAAAACATTTCATGGTTTATTTTTTTAAAAGACTGTTAGGTAGGTACCAAATGAGTTCCAAAATTTCTACGCTATGTGCTCCTTCTTCACTTTAACTTCAATTTTAAAAGGTGCTAAATTAGTGTTTTAAGAAACGTCAGAAAATATCCTGCAGCGCATTATAACTAACATAAAATAATTTTCGATCTCAGGAATTTCCTAGTTAAATCTTTTTTAAAGTCGAAAAATTACTCAAAATTTATTAGGGTTTTCTTTGACTTTTTGTAATGTTTACACCAATAGCATGTTTCATGTATACCGTAGTCTTGAACTTAAAAGCTGTTAATTTAGAAAACGTATATATTAAACCACCTTGCAAAACACACAATGTATAAACCTATCTCATCATTCAATATCAAGACTTCTCTACAGTGACTTGTTTAAAAAAATAATTAGGTGCGGTAAATGAATTGATGAAATTTTCTTATTTGTTCCAATGTTCTCTGAAATATAAATTCACCTGTCAATCCCCTAAACGCATGCCTTGATGTTCCTTATTGTCAATTATATTCAAGTGTATTCGTGGCAAATTTCATACATCTGGCTGCTACAGGGCAACAAAAGTCCGAGATACCTCGGAGAAACAGAGACTGTCTGCTCATTCTCAAGATGGCGGCCAATAACCGGGCTAAAGCTGATTGCATTTAACACCGCAATCACACGCTGAATGTGGAAGCTGAATGTGGCTTGAATGTGGAAGTCATCGGCCCGGTGCCTGAATTTTGCGCGTGAAGCGCAAAATTCAGCAACGATTCTCAGCAACCATCGGACCAATTTTGAATTTGTCTGAACTATTCGAGTAGATTTGATACACATCTGGATGAAAATAACTCAAATTTGCTAAATTTCAGCCGTTGGGCGATGACTGTTGACTTCCACATTCAGGTGCTAAATTCAGCGTCTGATTGCGGCATGAATCTTAGGATTTCTGGGTTCCTCACATATTTACAAGTGCTCATTCCAAGTTTCATGAATAAAGTCGCAAAACAGCAACGAAAATCCGACAAACCTCGGAGGAGCAGGGCAGATCGTTTTTTTCTCCAAAATGGCGGCCAATTTTGGCGGTAAAATGGCTGACCAAACTAGAGTCTTGATGAATTTCTATTTTCAACACACTTATGGATATTCCTATCTAAATTCACGCGTCTAGCTGCAAAACAGCCGCGCATATCTGAGAAACCGCGGAGAGGCAGGACTGGACTGTTAGTTTCCATAATGCCGGCCATTAGCCTGGGTAAAAATGGCCGGCTCAACTTGGGCCTCGATAGATTGATGTTCTCAACATATTTATGTATACTCATCAAAGACACTAGGAAAACTGTTCCGCTTTTTGATTGGTCAACGAGTTTTTAGGCTTCATGATGCTCTTAGGGCCGTAAATAAACAAACAAGATGGCGGCTCACCGTAACATCGATGAGAAGCTAAATTTGACAAAAATTTCAATTATGCGGCAGTAACAATTTAAACTAGCATATCTACGAATAACACACGAAAACATTGTTAAATCGCCTTTCACCTTTATCACAGGAGGATGTAAGATGTGCATAACCTCAATCTTGCTTGCTGATAACAGCCATCTTGTTTGTTTATTTCATAGAGTACATGCGAAAATCTGATATACCGCGGAGAAACGGCGCTAAACCTCTAATTTTGAAAGTGTCAATTTTTTCTCATTTTAGACACACTCAAGTATATTCCTGCCAAATTTCATGTTAATAGGTAGGTTAGAACGCCTGAAGAATGAGATTATAATGAAAATCAGCTTATGGCGGCCATCTTGGAAAATGGCGCCCAAAATACGCGGAAACATAGGCCTTGTCTCCACGAGATTTTTCACGGGATTTGTCCCTGGGAAAAATCCCATTCACGATGTTAGGAAAAATATTGAGTTTACTCAACATTTTTCCTAGTACCAAGTATGGTCCTTGTACCCCTAGGACCCACTGAGAGAGAGAGAAGAAGGGAAAACGAATTGTGCGATATTTTATTCATTACTTTATTGTTAATGTTGGTTTAGTTAAAATAATGTGTTTGATTGTCAATTGAGTGCAATTCGTATTTTAATCCCGGTCAAATACTCGACTTAACTAATTTATCTTCCCGCGCAAACTAGTCGCAGGACTGTATGAGCCCCGTCCCATGGAGACGGTAACTGGGAAAAATCCAAGAAGTTTCATTCCTGCGATTCGAACTTGGGACAAATCCCGTGGAGACAAAGCCATAGGAGATCCAGCGTGTGTCCCGATGGATTTTCGTTCCAAGTACCTTAAACCACACTTTCATCAAGTTTCATGCTGGTAGCCTAATTTGAACTAGTAGGGTGATTTTTGACCCTAAGCCACCCGCCACTATTGCCCAATATTATCGACCGAAAAAGTTATCGCAATTTTAAAATTCAGGAACGCTTGTAACGTCATTTTCCGAAGACGCACATCTTTGAAAACACGAAATGAAGAGGACGATAAAAAATACCCCTCTCCCTCAAATGTTTCAGCTACTTGCCACAAAATCACAAGGAGTTCCATCAATGTGCAAGAAAAAAAAATGGCATTTGGAAGCGCATAGCTCACTTATAAATCGTTTTTGGAAAGCACATGCTTTAGTAGCACATATGTGTATCGGGAAAAAAGTTATATTTTGAGCTGAAGAATTGATTCTGAAAGTTAAATATGTTAACTGTAACGTACACCTTGTATTTTTTCGAACGGAGCTCATACAAGGACGCTGCAGCGCCTCAAACACATAATCCTGGAATTGAAAAATCATTGTTTTCGCTGGGTTTCTTGACTGTTGTCATTCCTCCAGGAGGTTGCTAGAATGCAGTATTTCGCTTAGCATTACTGGCCCTCAAAATCATAGAGAAAATACAGAAGGTGGTGGCAAGGCAGCCATCTTGAAGATTTGCTGTGATGTAGAAAAGAACATCGGGGACTGGCGCGCTGTTAAAAAAAAAGTACATTTCATGCTTTTAATGATGGAATCTGTTTCAAGGCCTACATCACCACTCAAACTAACATTGAAAGTCCTATAATTGAACATTAGTTACCATAACTCTCCAATTTCTGCTTTTTTGACGCACAGAACGTAATTTAACATGCTTATATTTTCAAAACGGGACGAGTCGAGATAAAAGTTGTTATTATATGAAATATATATTTTTAACTTAAAATTTATTTTCAGTTACAGTCGAACATTGATAGAAAAATATATTGAAATATAATAAGTCATAGTTACAAGTTTTTAGAGCCAAATTAAAAGGGAACCTCACAACCTTTCCCGCTCCTTTTTAAATTTCAAAGAGGTCTCGGTTTTCCTGCTATCCTATTGACCAATCAGAAGGGCGGCTTCATTTTTAGCTGTGACGTAGAAAAGTACATTTCTCAGCTTGCCACCACCTTCTGTATTTTCTCTATGCTTAAAATGGCCTCCGATGAATTTTCAGGGGCCTTGATCCACTGTCGTCATTTTTCGACAATTTTTTTTTTCATTTAAAATGTAAAAAAAATGTAAAATGTAATTTCACCTACAAACCCCATAAACCATCTTTGTTTTGAAAATAGTGTAAAAAATGAAAAGAGTGTTTTGCATGAGACTTTTTCCTACAACGCCAAGTTATCGAGAAAAATCATCTTAAAGTACTAAAAAGGGTATAATTGGATTACTTGCCACGCTTAAGGTTCTCATCATATTGACGTATGTAGCGGCTCTTACACATCTGTACATACAACATATTAAAAAAAAGTTGATTTGTAGTACTTGGATTCGCTTGTTGTGAAAATTGATCGGGAAAGTCTCGTTCGGCGGCTGTTCCTTAATTTAAGGCATCTATGCGATTTGCATGTTTTTCGACCTTAGTCACCCTCCTTAATTTTCTTTTTGGTTTAACTCAATTTTTAAGCTAAAAAAAAAAAAAAAAAAAAAAAGTGTTCCTCCCTTGAGTATTGAACCCAAGATCTCATAAATATGGGTGAGATGCGGTGTCTACTACACCACCGCAAGTGCATATCATTACTGCCTCAATTTAAGGTTTGTCAACAAAGTTATAACGAACTATAAAAATGTTAAAAATTGATTTTTTTTATGAAGAATATTAGCATATTTACACTAGAGTCCCTTTATGCCCAGAGTTAAGACAACTCAATTATCAGCTGACTGGCAGCCGGCCTTGGCTGGCCATGGAGGCCGAAACGAGTGCACCCAAACGAACGATATTGAGGGTTAAGGATCAGGAATCCTGCGATATCTGTCACACAAAAACAACAACATCAACAAATTGATCAATTACAAAGAAAATGAGATTGGTTTGTGAATAATTTCTTAATCTATTTTCATTTTGGACCGATGGAAATAACAATTTACTCTTGATAAACCATAATTAGGTAATATTTTCATTATTCTTGTTCACATTCGAGGTACCGTCATCTTGGTGCACTCGTTTCGGCCTCCATGAGCGAGAACCAATCAGAATTGGATTTTTTTTTAGGCCACTTTCAGCCCAACCAAAAGTGAGTTGTCTTAACTCTGGGTATAAAGGGACTCTAATTTACACTCAGCGACCCAAGAACCCCTAAAAACTCATGTAGCTAGTTAGAAACATACATATCTGATTTAGTGCCACTTAAGTCGGGCTATGAGACCATAGTGCAGTGTCCCGCACCGATTGCCACGTCCAGTGTTAAGTTACAAGCGTCCAGCCCAGGCACAAACTAGGGGCTTCAAAGAGGCTCATCGATGGAACTGTTGACTGTTGCCTATCAACGATCTTCGAGTCCGATGTGTTCGAGACACATCATACGGGGTGTTCAGAAGTTAACATACTTAACTTTCAGGATCGATTTTTTGGCTCGAAATATGACTATTTTTTCCGATACACATATGCCAGAAAACGCTTCATAAAAGAGCTACGCGCTTCCAAAGTTGCCATTTTTATCTTTAAAATTGATGTAACTCCTCGTTATTTTGTCGTAAGTAGTTGAAACTTGGTGTAGGGGGGTATATTTTGACGCAACGTTCATTTTTCATGTTTTCAAGGACTTACCACGGTTCATTTTAAAAAAATTCAATTCTTTGGAAGACCATACGCGATTTTTTTTGGATAATAACGTCATAGTCAAGGCAATATGGAAGTTCTTGGAGAAACCCGGAAAACTGTTTGATGAGTGATTTTATGTATTTTTGGACGCTGAATCCGAATTTCGCATTTTACGTGGTGTAGTCCGTTTTTCCAAATATCATCTATCAAACAACTTATCGCAATTTTAAAATTAGGGAATGCTCGTTACGTCATTACTCAAAGACGTACGTCCTTGAAAACATGAAAAATGAACGTTGCGTTAAAAAATACCCCTCTACACCAAGTTTCAACTGCTTACGACAAAATAACGAGGAGTTACATGAATTTGAAAGATAAAAATGGCAACTTTGGAAGCGCGTAGCTCACTTATGAAGCGTTTTCTGGCATATGTGTATAGGAAAAAATAGTCATATTTTGAGCCGAAAAATCGATCCTGAAAGTTAAGTACGTTACCTTCCGGACACCCTATAGATCAGATCTTGAAATTTTCAAGGAATTTCGCCAGTTCACGTAGACTGCGCGTCCAGCTATGTTTTGTACAGGGTACTACAGGCAAAGCATGACAAGTTTCTCAAAACCTCAGGATGGGCTGGCGGTGAGGGGGAGAGAGCGTGTGTCCCAGACACTCGAACTACTCGAAGAGACTGCAGAGAGGCAATGGTGAATTCATTTGCACGCTCGGTTTTTCGCGAATAACATGTTAGAGTCTACTATCAGACACTAGTCCTAAGAGCAAAAGATGTAGGGCATGTGATTTTACAACGAATTGCAAAGTTTCACTATTGCAAACGAATAATCAACCCAAAAGAAATCCTAAAAATCCGACAAAAATTCACAGGAGCCACTATTGCGCATGCGCAGATGTGCGCAATTACACACGAACTCATCTATTCGAGGTCAGTGCTAACACTCTTCGGTGGGTGCTCCATGCAAATTTTTAAAAGTTGTCACACCTTCT